TGTTCTGTCAGTGTGTATTGTGTAGTCTCATAGATTTGTAACAGGTCCTATCTCCGTAACCGGGTCTGGTTGGTGTTCATACCAGTTTCTTTCAGTTTTCTTCCCTTAGAAGTTGCAGATTTTCCAGTGCAGATATTGGCCCACTCTGTCATGCCGGGTTTTATATTCAGTGGGTGCTAATATCGCGCAACTATTATTATTATTATTATTATTATTATTATTATTATTATTATTATTATTTCGATTTCTGCTATAATCACACTACCCACCAAGACTGTGGGAAGACCTAAAGCAGGTAGTGATGTGTTGTTATGGCTCCATTTCATAATTTGTTTACGTAGATCCCATAACATTTTTGTATTTCGATTTCCAGGTCTTTATACTTCCAATTCGTTAGTTGCTATGTTAATGTACGCTGGGAAAGCCATATCAATTCGTAAGCAAGTATTATTCCTCACAAAATTAATATTATTCGTTTTCTTTCTCTGCATTTTTTCTTTTTTGAAGCGTTTCACTCCAAGCTTGGCGGGAAGCCACTAGCACGCAAGGGTTTACAGACAATTGGAGTGAGTCCAAATAGGACTGATAGAGGAAAGGATGAAGAGAAAGATAGTGGATAGATCAAGGCATCTGAAGACGTCGATTGGCATTACATTTGAATAGTTGGCGATTATAGCTATCAGGAAAACAAGAAAAGGGAAGGGAGTTCCACAGGCCAGATGTACGAGACATGAAGCTATTGGAGTAGAAGAGATGGCTACATTTAACAGTTTCAACAGTAAAAGGGTGAGAGCGAGATGCCAACCTTGTTGAACGCTTAAATTCATGGAGTCTGGGAACCAGTGAAATCAACTCATCGGAGCAATTACCATGAAAGTATTTGTAAAAAAGACAGGAGGCGACGGTTATTTGTAACATTGCTACAATAATTTGATTTTTTCTTTATTTTTTTGCAATTTGTTAGTCATTCTCAACAATTTGTTGATGAACAGATTTGAAGGAAATGTCGTTGTCAGAAGCGAACTCGTCTTTTTTTTCTTCAAATGCTGCCTTGTTATTTTGTTCTTTGGAGAATCTATAAAAGTTATCCAAATACTTCAAAGCTAATATTTCTTTTACGATTTTATAATTGACAATCAATTTGCAGTTGAGTTTATTTTCAGTTTGGTTTTTTGTCTAATTTTAAACAAATTTATTTGGATTTTTGCAGTTGTTGTCTTTGTGAAAAATTCTGATTAGTTTGGCATTTCATAGTTTGTCTGCTGAAATGAAACAAAATAAAATGTTATGAACAATATTTAAATTAGCAAAAAATTCTCCTTCGTTTCAAAATAATTTTCGCTTCTTGAAACAAAAATTTTGTTTGTTTTTCAAAAAGAAATCTTATTTAATATCTTATTTAAAAATTATTTCTTAAATAAATAATTTTTCTTATTTAAAATGGAAATAAAACAATCTTATGTATTTTAATTTTTTAGACCACCCATTATTATTATTTTTTGTTAATCATTTCATCTCAAGCAAGGAAATAAATCTTCAACATCATCACTTGATAAGACACCGAAGGTGTTGAAACAAAATGGCTATTTTTGTAGTGATTTTATAACATATTTATGTTATAATTTTTTTTTATAAATAATAATTATATCTGCTCTACTTTGTATTGAGCGCTCTTTTAAGAATAGTAATTTTTGGTTATTGAATTCATTCCGTATACACCAATTATATACTTGAGTATATATATATATATATATATATATATATATATATATATATATATATATATATATAAAAGATTAATAGGTAATTTGTCGCAATTTTATTTCTTTATTTTTTTCCCCATTTGGACAGCGTCTATGAGAAAAAGGGCCTCATGACGCAATTAAAGAGATAAGAAGAGACGGTTATATTTAACCGTTTTGGCAGTGAAAAAGAGGCACCCACATGCCAGCCTGGTAGCTCGCTTAAATTCTTGCAGTCCGGGAACCAGCAGAAGTAGCACGTCAGAACAATTGCCGTGAAAATACTTTTAGAAGAGACAGAGGGAGGCCACGGCACGTCTGCGGGAAAGCGATTGTAGACTAGATGCCAGATCAGGACCTATAATCTTGCATATTTGTATCCGGATTTTGTCAAGGACCTCGAAACGTACAGTGGGAACACTAGACCATATATGACAACAATATTTAATGCAAGGACGGATGATTGATTTATAGATTTAGAGGACCTTGCGGTAGATGAAGTTTATATATATATATATATATATATATATATATATATATATATATATGAACAATGGAAAGGGAGAAAGTATAATATAACTGAGAATGCAGCAAATCCTTTAGACAAAGCTTAAACACAGTTTCATGGTTGTAGCCGGGGAAAGTGTTAAGATTCAGACACCAGTTAAAATAACCGTGACCTATATTTTAAAATATTAATATGCAGTTTCTATAAAAAAATTAAAGAAAATTCAAAATTGAAAAATTAGAGAATATTTTTATAATTATTTTTTAAAAACACTTTAAGGAAGAGTAATTAAAAAGTATCATGTAAAATAATGATATGATAATTAAAATAATAATTAATGAAATAATTATTAAAAACAAATTATTAAGTAAAATTAAAAAAAATATTGTACATTAAATAAAAATTAAAAGGTAATAATATAAGCTAATAATTAAATAAATTAATTAATTAATAAATGTAAAACAATATATAAGTGAAAGATAAATAAATTATTAAATATAAATAGATACACACACTCATATGTGGTCTGTTTTTATTCAAATATATATATATATATATATATATATATATATATATATATATCATATAAAATGACAATTTGAAAAACAATCTTAGATTTTGCCGACGCGTTTCGTCTTCCGACTTTTTCAAGGCAAAAATGAAATCGAAATGTGTTTGTTTTTAAAATTACATTAAAAAAAATAAACGCTTGTGTCTAAGCCTAATTTTTGGTTAATGTAAATTTCCTTTATACTAAGAGATTTTTTTTTTTTTATGTCGACAATACAGTTAAATTCCCAGATAAATTCTGTGGACAAGGCAAATTGGTATAAAATGACAAATGATCCTTGTTTTTAAAAATTATAATTTTACACCCATATAAATATGCACGGTGTTGTAATGGATAGCCGAGTTCTGAATTCAAAACCTGCGGAGGGTCGTTTGGGGACCTTGTGGCACGTTGTGCACCAGGTCTCTGTAATCAGCCCTTCAAAAAGTGTGGATGGTCCTGCACGAGGCCTTCATCACTATAATCAAATCTCATGTGCTGTTGTCGGGCTGTCGGTTTTCTGGAAACTGATCTGCTTGACCCTCATACATCGAATTCGACGTGAGAGTCGAGTATATATATATATATATATATATATATATATATATATATATATATATATATATATAGGGGGGTTGGAAATTGTTTTAAATATTAAAAGTGTTTTATTGTTTTAATATTTTATTTCTGAGATGAGAAATTGTCAATATTCTTGCATTATTTTAAACTATTGTTCTCGTTTTTCGTTGATATAAAATAAATATAGATATAACGTCTCGACCAAGTACCCTCTGGTCATCACCAGGCTTTTATATGGGATATCTATTTATAGTTATATTATTTTATCCCTGCGATGCCTGTTGCATTTTCCTGCTGAACCGGATCTTCATTGCCTAATCCAAGGATTAGATTAACGACCACTACATAACAATATTACCCGTATAACCTACATTCATATCCACCATGTTCCAAAATGGTGTGTTTTTTGCAGCCCTTATATTCAATGTCAGATGGTTTTGAGGCATTGTTTTCACTCAGGGAACGCGCTACGTTTCTTGTTTTCCTTTCTGACATGAGTCATTTTCAATATGCTTTTATTATTTCAAAATAGCGTTATTATCATGGATGATTGAGATGTAATTATAGATATAAAGTTTCGGACAGGTATCATCTGGCCATCATCAGTTGTTCGTTATTTGGCTGTTATAAGGTATTTGCTGATTATTCTGTTATTATAAATATGTGGCCGTAAGTTCAATCTTCATATCACGAAACTAAATAATCATATGAACCAAACAATGTACAAATGACGTTGGCCAGAGAGGAATTGGTCGTAACATTGTTTTGTAATAAAATCCATATTTTTTATTTTTTAGAGCGTAGTGTGACGCTTACCTGTTCTGAAAATGGGGTAGGCATTTTAAGTTCAATTTCAGCGTTCAGTTTCACATAAATACCATTGAGAAATGTTTGCGTCAATCGTATTTACGACAAGCTATGTAGTAACAGCACTGTAAGATTTTTAGATTAAGTTTGGAAGCCGTCCCAGTATTTAAGAACTAGCTAGTTGTAAGGTAAATAACTCGATCCTGTCATCCCATAATTCTCCGGTCACCATAGCCAGATTATTGCACTGTGGTTCCCGTAGCAATAGTTTTTGTTCATCATCATGCAACAGTGTTTTAACAAAGGATTGTGACATTTTCATGATATTATATCCGACTCGAACTGGTGCTTGGTATTTGTCGATGTCCATGAGTTCCTTTGCGTCTAATTACACTAAAATCGAACGGTCTGTGTTAATTATGTAACTGTAAGTTTTATGTTAACAATTTCTTTCATTACACTTCTCGCGTGTGGAACTCACTTCCAGCTCCATGCTTTCCAACCAACTTAGATCTTCAAAAATTGAAATGCAATATCAATCGTTATCTGCTCTCCTCTTGATTACACATCAATTGTTCTCTCTCTTTAACAATGTTTCTCTTTTTCTTTTTCTTTCACTCCTATTAACCAGTTGTGTCTTAGTGGCTTTACTACCTTGTATGGGGTGAAATGATTGAAAAGAAGTAGAATGTTCTTGAGAAATTAGATGAATCCACCTGAGTTCAACTATGGGTAAGACACGGTTTTCTGTATGGATGACAGAACAGTAAAGACGAGTGATGGTAAAAAGACATGATACCAAGATCTAGAAAGGTTAAGAGGTTTTTGTGAAGAAGAAGAGGAGGAAGAAGAAGGAAGAAGAGGGAGTAGGAAAAGAAAAAAAGTAGAAGAAGAAGAAGAAACAGGAGTAAGAGAAGAAGAAAAGAAAATGAAGAAAAGAAGTAAGACAAGAAGAAGAAAAACAAGAAAAAGAAAAAGGAGAAAAAAGAAGGAAATTTAAGAAGAAGAAAGACAAGAAAAAAGAAGAGGAAAAATGACGAATAATGACAATAAGGAAAAAGAAGAAAAAAGCAAAAGAAAGAAGATGAAGGAAAAAGAAGTAAAAGAAGAACGAGAAGAAAAGAAAAAGAAGAAAATGAAGAATGGGAAGGAAAGAAAAAGAAGAAAAAAGAGAATAAGAAGGAAAGAAAAAGAAGAAGCGAGTAGGAGTAAGATAAGAAAAAGAAGAAAAAAGATGAAAAAGAAGAAGCAAGTAGAACAAACAAAAAGATAAGAAAAAGAAGAAGAAGAAAGAATAACAAGAAGAAAAAAGTAAAAAAGAAGAAAAATAAAGAAGAAGAAAAACGACAAGAAGAAGAAGAAGAAGAAGAAGAAGAAAAAGAAGAAGGAAAAAGAAAAAGGAAAAAGAAGGAAAAAGGAAAATGACAAGAATAAAACGATGAAGGAGGAAAGAGAAGAATGAAAAGAAGAAGAAATATAAGAAAAAGAAGCATACCAGTTGAGTACAATGAAAAGCTATGAATTCATACATGTGCAAATAGCAAGAGCAAATGGCGTCAATATTTTCCTCAAAATAGAATTGTAACTTCACAGATATTAAAAGAAATGAAGCTGTGAAGAGCCACGATCTTAAGCATTTCCAAGAAATACAGAAAATTAGATGGTGGGGGAACGATGATCTGTACCCAGCGCTTAAATTCCTCTCGCTCAGAAAGTTTGATGCTCGGACGGTAGGTCTTTGATCCGGGCAAATTTAGTTGAGTGAATGCGTCTCTCAACGGCATTGACATCAGACGAGTCGAGTAGACACATGTTGGCTTTTATGTTATGAATATGTAGATGAGTAAATGCAAATCACAAATAAACTTAAGAGAAAGCATCTAAAATTAAATGAATTAAGAGACGAGACAGGATTGGAGCGGAAAAACACTTTTAACAGCATTTCATTATATATCTAGATCAATCAGCCTATCCATCCTTCGATCTATCCATCTAGCTATTCTCTCTTTCTCTCTCTCTCTCTCTCTATATATATATATATATATATGCAGCATATCTTTATTCAAGCATGCTTGTTTGAATAAGCTATTCATCTATCTCTCTAACTATATATACATATATGTATGTGTGTATATATATATATATATGTGTGTGTGTGTGTGTGTGTGTGTGTGTGTGTGTGTGTGTATTGCTTTATATATGTACCGTACTTAGTGGAAAGCTCTTAATATTAGTAATAGAGCTGACATATTCAGTTGTATGGAAATTCATATCCATAGAAACTGAGTATATATATATATATATATATATATATATATATATATATATATATATATCGGCAGCATATCTTCATTCAAGTATGTTTGGTTCAATAATCTTGTCATATGTTTATTTATTTTAGTTTAATACTTTCAACATCAAATTTTTGTAACCCTCTATATAAGAGAAATACACACCAACACTAAATTAGTTTAATTATGAGTATAGCAATAATGTTTTAAAATGACTATATAAGCTATGTTTTTGGATAAAACGTCTTATATATATTGACGTTAACTCAGAGACCACAGTCTGTTTCATATGTTAGTTCAATCGTCGATTGCATTTAAGCATATAACAAATATATATATATATATATATATATATATATATATATATATATATATATATATATATATATATATATATGATGAAAATATTTTGAAGGTACAAAACCTAATTACATAAATAAAAGTGTGTAGCTTAATATTGCAAGACATGTTAAAAGCGAAGCAACCGGTTTCGCTCCCGCTCTTCAGCCAACTACGGATGATTTAACTTAAATTAAAACAACAGAAAATGTGTAATGAGAAGGAGAAGGGAAAAAATGAACACAAAGAGCTAGAGACAAATAACAGCAAGCCCCAACAAACACTCACGCTGTTTACATAGGCAAGGCTTGCGGGACCCGATATAAAGTGCCTCCAACACCCGGACAGAACAGTGAAGCAGTTAGCACTAAAATTATCTGTTATTTAAGAGGTGCTCTCTCTCTCTCTCTCTCTCTCTCTCACACACACACACACACACACACAAACATATATATATATATATAGAGAGAGATATTGTGTGTATTTAGGCAACATTTTTTCATTCATATATGTTTCATTAAATAATATAGACAAGTGTTTTCTACTTAGTTTATGTTAATTATTTTCATAACGTCTGATAAGCTTAATAACATTATCATTAAACGAAGAAAGAAAATCACAATATTGATACATATTTTTTAATTCAATCTAAGGTTTCAGCTTACATAAGCCATTGTCAAAGATGACAATTACTGTACAATATATTAAGCAATACACGGACAAGAATGTGATGATAGTCTGTTTCTGTTTACATGGATGATTTCCAAGCAACGATAAAAACGTGCATATAAGACGCTGGAAGCGAAAATTGCACCGCAGCTCAGGACGTCACACATGACTACGCGAGAGTGAATTTGAGAATTATTAAGTATGGGAAACTAATGGTTTCTATTCCCAAATATAGACATTTAAGAATATTTGTGAAGATTCCATAGTTTATTTTGTTTAGTTTAGGTTAGGTTTCAACTGTTTTATGTATATAGCTTCAAGAATTTTTAGTTTTTGTTTATTGTTTTCATGTTTAAGTATAATTGTGTTTTCGACAAGGATTTTACGGAATTATGTGTGCGGCCAGGTATGTTGTGTGTATTATATATATATATATATATATATATAAGATTTAACCCTGATATTGAGCACTTCAGCCAAATAATATAGCATACTTTAAAACTACATATATAAAATATTTTATATATCTATATAGAAAAACTCATAAATCAGACGAATATATGCCTATCTTATGTTACACCATTCACCTGAAGAAGGTCAGAGCGTACCACGTCCGAAACGTTGTGAATATGGCAATGAAGTTGAGGATAAGCGTCCGAATGGTGTAAATAATTCTAGGAGCGATTCTTGTATCCATGTATTTTTTATAAAGTCTTTCTAAGCTGAGAGGAGATATGTGAATTACTTTTGCGATATCCCGTGTTGTTTAGTTTTAATCATCGCTTCTATTTGGTAATCATGAATGACAGCAAGTCTCTCTATAAAAAAAATAGTTGTTCTAGAAAATTGATAAAAGGTAACGGGAATTTAAATAGTATTAAATGCATTGAATTGTTGAAGGAATGCTTGAATCTTCATTTGAATTGCTGTAATATTTTTCAGCATGTTGCTTCTCCATTACATAAATTACATTCAGCTTAAGAATATCTGAATGACAAAAATCTAAAATCTGTTAAAAGATTGCTCAACAAAATTCCCGGATATAAATATTATGGATCATGTATGTACAGAATAAAAGAAAAAAGTTCATTTAAAGAATCCATATAACTTTGAAGAATTATAAGAGCACACTCAACGAGAATGGAACCGTATAACCGTATACACAGGAAATTAATGAAGGATTTTACACATCTTTTCTACGGGAGATTAAAGCTATTATCTACATATAGAAAACAAAGGATGTGCGTCTGTGTGTGTAATACATTTTCACTCGAGATCCATCCAACCAATTTTGACTAAATTTGGCACATACATTGTACAATGTGAGAGATAGGTTCTTAGCGTAAAAAATTAATAATCGATAAAGCCGAGCAAAAATTGATAAATTCAACTTTTTCCTCAGATTTCGTTCAAACTCGGTATGTAGGTTACTTACATCATGACGAGCTCAATGAAACCTCATTTTATGTTTACGCCACGATACAGACTAATTCTGTTCTATCATTAACTGCATTAATTCAAAATGTTTTTTAATGAAAGTACTTTAAAGTAATTGTACAAGATAGACACTGTTACATCTGAATATGATGCTGTTTTTGCTCCATTGTAATTGAACGCTTTTTCTGATCAACCAGCTGGGTATGGCTGCTAGTTATATATATCATATTTTATCAATATATATATATATATATATTCTTTCATTATATATATATATATATATATATATATATATATATATTAACGAAGGATTTGTACACATCTTTTCTGCGAGGAATTAAAGCCATTATTCAATCTACAAGAGGAATATAATAAAAATCTAGTATTTTTTGTTGTTTTTGGTATGGTATGATGTTATTTAGCGGTATATCAACCGCTATGGGTTATTTAATGCCGAAATTTAAATCTTTTATGAATCAATGTCAATGCTTCAACTACAGATAAATAGTTCTGCTATAAATTGTTATTTTAGGTAATTTTTAATGTAAATGCATTGCTGGCATTTTTTACTATACCTGGAACACTAACAGATGTTACCTCCCTTGGTCAGGGTGGGCCTGAGAACAACAACAATTAATAGGTGGTTCCATACTCCTCAAAACTCCAATCTCCTGATCACAGGCCTTGCTGCTGGGCGGAGTTTATAGTCATACCCAGGAATTTTTGTCTTTGCAATGCGCAATATTTTTTTCTTTGTTGTCACTTAGAAAAGTGTAGTGAATGAGGAATAACCAAAACGGAGGTTGGAAATGAAATGGTAATCTTTATAACATCAACAAAATACAATACTCGCCAGCGGCGTGGAGTAGGTAAACCACTGCTTGTGGTGGACTACGTAGACAGCATAGAACCCCCACTTACAATAGTGTCCAACGTATTTATGAAGATTGGGACATGTCCATTAGTGTTCATAGATACGGTATATAACAGTTTCTTATCCTTTGGAAGATGTATTTTTTTTTACTTATCAAGTAATCAAGTAATTTTTTATCGATGCAAATATATTAATGGACGGTTTTCGACATTAAATAGGCCAATAAACTGGTCAAAGAATTGGTCTAAGAAGAATAATTGTTGGTGCGTGTTGTAACCTAGGAAGGGTTACTGAATGAGGAATAACTAAAACGGAGGTTGGAAATGAAATGGTAATCTTTATAACATCAGCAAAATACAATAATCGCCAGCGGCGTTAAGTAGGTAAACCACTGATAGTGGTGGACTACTTAGACAGCATATTACTCCCCACTTACAATAGTGTCCAACGTATTTATGATGATTAGGATATGTCTATTAGTGTTCATAGGTAAGGTATATAATAATATTATATTTAATTGTCTTCAGTAACGTTGTGTGAGACATACAAGGGTGTTCTTATACGTTAGAGTATATTTTTCCTTCAGATTTTAAATCTCCAAACTGACGATGATGTTTAGATATATAAAAGGCACTACTAGATTATATGTATCATCTGTGGAAAAAAAGGGGAAAAACCTCAATGGTTCATTACAGTTTACGTTGCTCTTTAACTTTTACTTGGTACTATATATCTATGGCTGACTAGCTAGGTGACCCCACATTTGAGGACATATTTGTTATATTTCAACTTGGCTAAGTGCGGCTTAGTTACAGTTCCCGTGAGGAAACGCCTAATCTAACTTGATCATCAGTTTAAACAAAGCCAGTATGCTCAGAATCGTCGTAACAATCATTGGTAAATTCATGTTTGGACAACAATTGAAAACTGTCAAACACTTCCGTCTACCAAATTCAACTTGCAAATTTAGGTCAACCGGTAAATATGGCTTCCAAGTACCTTACAAATATTTGTTCAGCCGATATTATCAAAAATTCGAAAGCACATCTCAAAGTTATAAACACCCGGCCACGCACCCACTTAATGTACAGCTGGCCACTCTTATGCAAGGATACCTGTCTACTAGGGCGGCTAGTCATCCCTATTTCAGACGCTTGCTCAGGTACATTTGTGTTTATTCAACACCCACAGAGCCCACTTGTGGTTTATACTGCAACTATACTGAGCAGACCTTAGTTACAGTTTATGGAAAAGCGTGATCAACAATTTTAATAAGCCCAGCACGTTCAGGTCCTCAGCCACTATGACATGTGGATTCGTGCTAACACAGCTATCTACGGGTTCCGTCTACTCAATTTCAAATTTAAGGTGTAATGGTTTTCAGGCATTTCCAGAGGTATCGCACGATAAGATCAGCCCCCCCTCCCAGTCTGATAACATCAGGAAGTCAATCATGATGAGATTCGAACCCGTATCTCATAGTCAGAAAGAAAACGTTCTGCCCATAACCACTTAGCGTATTGTTATGATAAATAGAATTTTCCAAATATTATTGTTAAATTTCTTTTTAGTTCAAATATTCCCAACATTTTACAAGTCCTGTTCAATGGCTTTATTGAAATATTATTTATTTTTTTCTGCTTTTTCTGCTTTTAATTCTGTTTCATCGATGGAGACAACTCTTTTCCAAGATTACTTCTCTCTTTTTTTTTAAATTTTTTTTTTTACCTCCACTCATTTCGGATATGATTTCAATATCCTTTCGTAACTTCAAACTTCGTCCGAACTTTGATGGTGGTTCCGGTTTCGTGATCTTGTTTACGATAGAGAAGCTGACATAAAAAAAAAACGGCAGCGCATGCAAAACAATAACACACACACACACTCAGATGCACATATACGTAGGCAATGACGAACGTACATATGCGCAAACACACACACTCACACATACAAACACACTAACCTACGCATGGAGTATTATACACAAATACACACGGACTAACACACCAGCTTCAAAAGAATGACCCACTAAAACAAATATAACGACGATTGTACCCACATACACAAACGTACGTATCCACAAAAGAACTGACGAACGCATATATATATATATATATATATATATATATATATAAGTGAACATAGAAGTCAGCACTTAGAGGCGACAGTCTGTTTAATGCTATGTGCAATCGTCAGGCTACCTGTCGCCTCTCAGTGTTGACTTCTCTGTTCACTTTTATATTTACACACGCTCTATCTCTGATATTGAGCACTTTATTCCATAAATATAGCACACCTTAAGACTATATTTCTTTTATATATATATATATATATATATATATATATATATATATATATATATATATATAAAACACACAGAAATATAAAATTCACGTAAAAACATACTAACGCATATATTATTACACAGAAAGCCTTAATAAACTTACACGGAGACAGGAAAAAATAACAAAAAAAATACACAAGTGGATATATGAACACACACACACACATTATATATATATATATATATATATATATATATATATACATCTGTATGTATGTATGTGTGTGTGTGTATGTATGTATGTGTGTGTGTGTAAGGGAACGTGGTGTGTGTGTATGTGTGTGTAAGGGAACGTGGCTGAGTGATTAGAACGATCATTTCTAACCATGCAACATAGATGGTTCGGTTAGTCAGAAACGTTTGTGATGTTATCGGTCTAGGGAGGCGAGATCCCAGTGTGCGGTACCATTGGAAAGTGCCTGAGAAGCCATAACATGGGTTGAACCAGGCCTTGTGCGTGAATCTGAGCAGACGGAACGGATGGCTGGGCTACCACAAAGTGACAAGTCATCGTGACCGAGGGTTTGAACGTACTGGCCTTGTACCGATTGTTGATCACGCTAGATAACACGCTTCTCTCCCAGAATCCCTGACTAAGGTCTGCTCCGCATAGTTGCTGTATAAAACACAGGTTTTGAATGAACAAAAAAAAAGTGCCTGAGAAAGCGTCTTCAATAGCAGTTATCTAGCTGCCCCAAGAGATGTGTATCCTTCAATATTAGGTTGGTGCAAAAAATAATGACGTAATAATGTCGTTTTTGACGTAGAAAAGTACGTCAAAAAACGACATTATTACGTCATTATTTTTGCACCAACCTAATACTTGTAGCCAGCTATATATATATATGTATATATATATATATATATATATATATATATATAAGTGAACATAGAAGTCAACACTTAGAGGCGACAGTCTGTTTCCTGCTAGATGCAATCATCAGGCCACGAGTGCTGTTATTTTTCTCGGCTATTTATATATATACGGGTCAGTCGTGCATTGTGGGTATTCTATTATGGCGGTTATTTTACCGGAAGTCGTTTATTTGTTTATTTATTTATTTGGGTTAAATTATTTTGCTTGTTTTTTATTTATTTATTTTTATTTCTTATCTTATATATTTATTTATTTAATTATTTATTTATTTTTTAATCGGTGTTTTTATTAACGTAGTAAAAATTGTTTATATCGCTTATTTAATAGCTTTGTTTTGGTTTGCGAAGATAATTAAAGCTATTTATTCGATCGATTTTAGGGTTGATTGTTGATATATATATATATATATATATATATATATATATATATATATATATATATCGGTGTGGCGGACAATCTTTTAATTTTTGTATAATGAGAACAAGTTTAAGACAATCTATGACACATTCGTCATTTAAGACTTTATCATGATGTTGATACGATTACACTTATACATAAAGGCGAGAGGGTTGAAATTTTAAATTTAATTTTAAATTTATTTGTTTTTTAATATGAGTTTTGGCTATATAGTCTAGCCTACTGAATTATTTTGTTTTTCGTTTATGTTTTAATCACTTTTGTTATCTAAATACGCCACGTTGTAATAATACATTGTGATAATATTTAAGTAGCCCACATTGTCATAATAGATCCTCCAAGAATAGTAGAATTTTCTAAGAACCTGGGCGCATATTCACTGTGGATGATCTACGGATTAAATCATATTCTATATATTTTCGCCTTCGTAACTAGCTTTCAATTTTTAATTAATGTAGCATTTCTTAAATCGAAATTATGGATTGACTCATTACTATGAGCAACTAATTCATCTAGTGTGTGATTTTGTAAAACATCCATTTTGTGTTTATATAATCTTTTATTATGTTTCTTGACGTTTTTCCTGTGTATTCTTTGTGGCAATCACTGCAGGTAATAAAGTAAATCCCTCCTACAAGTTTACCTTATTATTATTTTGTTTTGTATTAATTCTTTTTTAGTTTTAGAAGAATTTTTCATCATATTTTATGTAAAGCTTAGAGAAATTATTTTCAGTTCTATTTGTGATAGGGTTGGTGGACAGAACATTATATTTTTGATTGACTGGGTTTGTCAGAAGGGGCCACTTCTCTTTTTTAAATATTTTACGAGCTTTTTGCTTCGCATTGAATATGAAATAATTAGTGTATTGGAGGAGCTTAAAAGTATTTTCATTGTATTTCTTCTCTTCATGTAACTATTGTGGGCTGCAAATTCTTAGTGCTCTTAAATAGAATCGTATGATTATTTATGTTGTTGTTATAGTGAGAACAGAAATTAATGAAATCATTTATATCATTTGAGTTTTGATGGACACTTGGTTTTAGGCTGGTGTCATTGCGCCGTAGCATGATATCTACGTAAGAGTGGTTGAGTTATAAATATGTAAGATACATACTCTCGAGAAAAATTGTCTAGCTCGATACAATGAAGCAATATAAGAAAAATAAAACATTAAGGAAAAAGAATAATGAAATAAAAGGAATTAAGAAGACAGAAGATAACGATTGCCATTGCATTTAAATTTTGACTGGCAACAAGAGGCCGGAAGAGGGTACCTCAAGAGGAACTCTTTAGCTTGAGAAGGCACAATGAGTCACTCGCCAGGAGATTCACAAATTGAAATCCAAATTAAAATATCTTAATATCAACTCAATCAATCCCAAAGATACTGATAGACATAGAACACGGGTTGCCACGCAACACATTTTCGGTACGTATTTTTGATAACACAAAACAGGATAACCAATCAGTGTCAGATGCAATAGATTCTATCTGACTTTCTGTGCTGAAGAGTTGTAACTATTTACATGCGACCTATGACGAGAGAAGCCTCGGTCACTGCAGTCACAACACTCATCGCCAGGCAGTTTATGTATATGTTTCCAAATTCTCCAAATTAGCCTGGTGGATTAAGAGTTCGTGAAATTGTTGATGTAGCAATTATAGGTTCAATCTCTGGGCCGGGAAATGTGTACTTAAAAGCAGTGGAAACAGGTCGGGTAATAAATGAATAGTAAAAAAAAAAAAAAATATAGAGATTAGATATCCCTAGACATTGTCAGTGGAATGATAACAGTGTATCCCTGTAGATAAAATAAAGGGTTCAGTTACCAACATATCCTGATGAAGACCAGAGTGTATAATAACCGAAACGTTGTGATAAACAATATGGATGAGGACAAGAGTCCGAATGTTAGTGTAAAAAGCAAAGGGATATAAATATATACTTTTGGATTGGAAGAACTTTTTTTTTTTACATAAGAATGGTAATACAAGTTTTGCTAATTAACCCTTAGGTAGGGGAGAAACGGTGGATCTATACCTTTTCCCAAGTGAATATAACGAACTCAACGGGAATTGGAACTCGGTTCTTCGATTATTAATTTCCAGCCATTATCCAATACACTGCCCGCAAATCTAATATTACAGTACCTGGTATTCCCAAGCGAACACCCATCTAGTTACTGACCAAGCTCTACGTTGCTTAACTGCGGTGAACGCATGGGAACCGGTGTTTCAGCGTGAGTTGGTTGTAACATAATCATAATATAATAAATGATAAATGATTTCGCCCTAACATAAGCCGGACACATAATGAGGAAATAGTGCTCGGAGAAATTGAAACGCATAGGATATATTGAAGACTATAGAGGAAGAATGAAAAATTGAGGTACCTACCATATGACTTATTGTAAATGTTTGGTAGAACAGAAACTATGTGAGATAGTAAGCGGAGAAATATTACGTATGAGAAGTCGTGGAGAGCTTTTATCTTTACACTGTTTTTATTTTTCTCTCGTTTTCGCCATCTTCTCCTACTTCCGGTTCTTAACTCCTCTTCCGCTTTAATCACTCCCTATTCTTCTGTTGAGCAATTCAGTTCTCTCGAATTACTCTCTCTCTCTCTCTCTCTCTCTCACCCTTTCTCTCCTCCTCTTCTCCGTTTACTCTTGTCTCCTCTCGTTCTGAAAATATTTATTTTATCCCTCTCTTTCATACCTCCTCTTCTCTAATTACCCGTTCTTCCTCTCTCTCTCACTCACTATTCTCGAATTACTTTAACCCCTCTTTCGCTCTCCTTACTCTCTCTTTAACTTTTTCTTACATTGTTCTCCTAATTACTGCCTCTCCCTCTCTATTTCATTCGTATTCCATTTGTGAGATATAAGTTCTAATCTAGAAGCTTCTTCCCACGAAATTATTTTTAAATTCTTTTTAAGCATTTTACCCCAAGCAAGGCGGGGGTGCCACTAGCAGAGAGTGAGAGCAAGTGTAAAGAGGTGGGGGGTGTTTGAAGAAAGGTTATAGAGAAGGACAGGGATCAGGATCAAGGCATCAGAAGATGTCGTGTGACATTACATTTAAATATTTGAAGATTATAGCTATCAGGGAAGCAAGTAAGAGGAAGAGAGTTTCACTGTCGGGAAGTGCAAGAGAAGAAGCTGTTGAAGTAGAAGAGGCGGTTACATTTAACCGTTTCGACAGTGAAAGGATGGGATCGAGATGCCAACCTAGTAACACGCTTAAGTTCATGCAGTTGGTGTACAAGTGAAATTAGCTCGTCAGAGCACTTGCCTTGAAAATATTTGTAGAAAAGACAGAGGGAAGCCACAGAACGTCTGTAAGAAAGTGACTGTAGACGAGATGCCAGATCAGGACCTATCCCATTGCATATCCGTCTCTGGATTTTGTTGAGTACCTTAAGATGAACAACGGGAGTACCAGACCATATATGGCAGCAGTATTCAATGCATGACGACTGGTTGACTTACAGACTTGAAGGATGGACTCAGGCGAGAAAAACCTTCAGACACGACACAGAGAACCAACTTTCCTTGCTGTAGTTGAAACTATTGATTCAATGTTGTTCTTCCACCTCAGGTCAGTGGAAAGCGTGATACCAAACAGGCACAGGGAAGCGCTCTCGTCGAGTTGGGCATCTCTTGTTTGTAATCGGCTCCCATGAGGATACTTACCCGATTACTACAACCTTAACTTGTTCATGTCTAAGGCTAACCGTTATGTTCCACACATATCCATATAAACTGCTCTGTAATCATCTACCTTAAGTGCCTCTCGAGCTTTGTACAGGGGGAACACAATAGTAAAAAATAAATTTCTCATCTTCTCTAATTAATCTCTCTTTTATTCACATCCCTTTCTCTAGTTAGTCTCTATCTTTCTCTCGCTCTCTCTCTCTCTCTCTCACTCACTTTCTCTGGTTAGTCTCTCTCTCTCTCTCCCTCTCTCTCACTCCCTTTATCTGGTTAGTTTCTCTCTCTCTCTCTCTCTCTCTCTCTGGTTAGTCTCTCTCTCTCTCACTCCCTTTCTCTGGTTAGTTTCTCTCTCTCTCACTCCCTTTCTCTGGTTAGTCTCTCTCTCTCTCTCACTCCCTTTCTCTGGTTAGTCTCTCTCTCTCTCTCTTTCATTCCCTTTCTCTGGTTAGTTTCTCTCTCTCTCTCACTCACTTTCTCTGGTTAGTCTCTCTCTCTCTCCCTCTCTCTCTCTCACTCCCTTTCTCTGGTTAGTTTTCTCTCTCTCTCTCTCTCTCTCTCTCTCTCTGTGGTTAGTCTCTCTCTCTCTCTCACTCCCTTTCTCTGGTTAGTTTCTCTCTCTCTCACTCCCTTTCTCTGGTTAGTCTCTCTCTTTCATTCCCTTTCTCAGGTTAGTTTCTCTCTCTCTCTCTCTCTCTCTTTCACTCCCTTTCTCTGGTTAGTCTCTCTCTCTCTCTCTCCCTCTGTGGTTAGTCTCTCTCTCTCTCACTCCCTTTCTCTGGTTAGTCTCTCTCTTTCATTCCCTTTCTCAGGTTAGTTTTCTCTCTCTCTCTCTCTCTCTTTCACTCCCTTTCTCTGGTTAGTCTCTCTCTCTCTCTCTCTCCCTTTCTCTGGTTAGTCTCTGTCTCTCTCTCACTCCCTTTCTCCTTTTTTAGTTACTCTTTCTTACAGTCTTTCCTCTTCTCTAGTTACTCTCTCTTCCTCGCTCTCTCGTCTATTTATTCTTGTTACTGTTTCTCTCTCTTTTTACTCTTCTTCAGTTTCGATCTTCCCCTTCTCCAACTGCTCGCTTTTTCTACTTTTTACCAGTTACTCCCTCATTCTCTTTCTCCCTCTCCTCCACTCTCGCCCTCTTTCTCTCTTTCTTCCAATCCTTTTTCCCCGAGTCCCTGCTACCCCCTCTCTCTCTCTCTCTCTTCTACTTCTTTTCAATTAGTCTCTCCTTTTCTCTCGTACTCTCTCTCTATCATTTCTTCTTTTTTTCCACTCATTCTCTCTTCGTCCTTTCTCACCGTCCCTTCAACTTCCGCTCTCTCTTTGTCTTTTCTCTTTTTTCTATTTTCATTTCTTTCGTCTTCTCTCCATTAATAATTTCCATTACGATCTTAATTTTACTTTCAGTTAAATGTAAACGAACCGCCATTTTTTTTTCGATTCATAAAATAACAAAAATACCGATGAATATATCTAATTATCTAATTGGCATACGAATAAAACCCGAGACCCTATCAAGAATCACGCCTTCCCCTCAGCTCGGCGTAAGTGGTTGGCAAAAATTAAGTATGATCAAGACGAAGAGATTTGGCGAAATAAGAGTCGGTAACGAAGCTTACCATTAATATATAGTCTTGTGGCCTCCGGTTCTCTCGCTTCTTGAAAACACATTTAAAAGTGGTGAAAATTTCGTAGACTTCGAACAAAAGAGATCTGCTCATGTCTACTTAGGAAATGATATTTGTTTAATAAACCATTTTAGTTTAGGTGAAATTATTTTCTAAAGGAATCAAGTGGACATTGTCTACTCGATAACTGAAACTATATTTACATACTTCATTTTAAAATTTTCAGATTTTTTGTTTCTTTCAGGAAGCTATGTTGCGTCTCACGAAGATAAACAATTTTAAATCTCGTTCGTGATGCCAATCAATAAATCTATATATATATATATATATATATATATATATATATATATATATATATATATATATATATATATATATATGTGTGTGTGTGTGTGAAAAGTGTATATAAATATAAACAAATATATATATGTATAATTATTTATATATTATATATATGGTACTTATTAGAAAGCGCTCAATATCAGAGATAGAGCTAACATATATGTGACAAACTCACATCTATCCAACCAAAATATATATATATATATATATTTATATATATATATATATATATATATATATATATATATATATATAATTCTTCTAGATTCGATGAATTACTATTAATGAATATATATATATATATATGAAGAAATATAGTCTTAAGGTGAGCTATATTTATGGGATAAAGTGCTCAATATCAGAGATAGAGCGTGTGACCTGATGATTACGTCTATCATGAAACAGACTGTCGTCTCTTCAATGTTCACTTATATATATATATATATATATATATATATATATATATATATATATATATATATATATATATACATAAAAAAAAGGCTCAAGTACTAATATTCCATGGTTATAATTTATTACATTGGAATCGTAATCACGATCCAATTCATCTGCCATAAAAAATTCAAAATATTCTTACTCTGTCCTAGACATTGGTTCTACCTGGATTCTATCCTCTTGGGAATTTATTTATTTTACATATATATATATATATATATATATATATATATATATATATATATATATATATATTGACCACTAATATTATTTATATATATATATATATATATATATATATATATACATAAAATTGAACATATGTTCAATTTTATATTTACACACGCTCTATCTCTGATATTGAGCACTTTATCCAATAAGTATAGCACATCTTAAGACTATATTTCTTCATATATATATATATGCATATATATATATATATATATATATATATATATATATATATATATATATATAATTTATAGTAATTCATCGAGTTTAGAAATTCCTCAACAGAATGCAGTAAGCACTGGTCTATCGATTCCGTTCTATTTGGGACTCATCCCAAAAAATTACATTAAAATGGGTAAATTCTGTATTATGGATTTTCTTGGTTGAAATAAACCTGTTCCCCATATGAGATAAATTTGGATTTTATTGTGTACTAACTCCCCACCCCAGGAAAATTGATATCATCGCATGAATACTAATAAATATTATAAATTGGTGTTCTTCTATTTATATAAGCGCAATCGCCAAAAACAAGCAAATAACCGACTTTAAAATAATAATAAAACAGCATTAAAAAAATAAAAATAATAGCAATTTTCCCTATCATAAACTTACACAGACCCTGTCATAAAAAAAAACAGACGGAGAGACGATGTGTGAACACATGTGCACATGTATATGGGTATGCGTGTGTTCGAGAGAACATTATTCGGCGAAAAAAAGAGACGAACGGCCTGCGCCTTGACACCGCAACTAACAAAAAATGTTCGCTACACAATCCAACATTGAATACAGCGACCAACCGCGTAAATATCTACGCAACCACACATGGATGCGCGTATATGCCCAGTTCCACACTGTTCATATATGTTTATGCTTGTGTGAGCTAAAATGAGTGAGCGTGCGTGTATGTATGTATGTATGTATGTTTGCGTAAATATGAGAGGCTTTCCGACGACAATTTTTTCCTCCCACTTCCATAAAAACACCGATATACGCAAACATATATAAATCCAAAATTTAAAAATTAATCAGTTTACCTGACGATCGGAAATAGCGTGAAACCCAGGGTCACAAACTCACATCAATCCAAGCTATATATATATATATAAATATATATATATACATATGGTCACTCCTCCTCCCCCAATACTAAGTATGATTGAGAGAGATATGGAATTAATCCCTCCCTAAACTCTACCATGTCTCTTTAACTACTCATTTTACACTCTCTGTTAAATTACAAAAACTTATACTACCCATTTATTTTAATTTCACTTTTCGTTTCATTTCATTTTTGGAAGTGCTATCTGATGATCCTGCGTCATTTAAAAGGGCTCTGGTGAAATAAATTATTATAATGGTACCTTAAATTGGTCTGTTTTTATATATATATATATATATATATATATATATAGATATATATATATATATATATTACTTATTATAAAACAGGTTGTGTGTGTGTGTGTGTGTGTGTGTGTGTGTGTGTGTGTGTGTGTGTGTGTGTCTGTAACGTTTATATGTTGGATCGAATTTCCTACATTTTTTAGCCGATTTCAACAAAACTTCACAGGACTACATAAAATTACCTTGTGGTGGTTCTAACGGGGCCGAAAATGGGAAAAATACAGTTGTTTTTTAATAAAATCAATTTGAAAACACGATTAAGACACATCGTGAGAATGAAAGGGGAGAACTCCCCACGAAAATGTAAACAAACGAGCATAGCATGATGAAAAAGACGCCGAACTTGACGAAAACAAAATTTTATCGTCTAATGTTCATATTATTATTAAAGAGGAAAGATCAAAAGTATTTTGGGGGTATTTTTCTTACATTTTTAATCGTTCCTAGCACGTCTGAAATTTTCGTTAAAAATATTGTTTTTTTGGTCAAAAAAAGGGCAGATAATCATTTTCAATCATTTTTTCGATTTGATAAAAAAGATTAAAATCTTACTTTGATATTCTTTTTAAAATCAATTATCATTTTTCAAAACTGATTTTAATAAAAACAGATATTATACTGTTTATTTAAAATATTTTGAACCAAGCTTAACTTAGCTTCTGCGCCGAAAAAAATGTAATTTGAAAATAAAACAAAGCAGGGTATAACCTTTCGCGTCACTTGACGATTGACGAAAGGCACATTCATGACGTTTAGATAACTTACGGGAGGAGAATTCTTTCTACGGATGGAAGGAAGTGAAATTATTTAAGTGAACAAATTATTTACCTTGTTACTTTTAAGGAAAACTTTCAGCGCTCTAATTTTTTATTTATTTTTTTTTGTACTTAGCTTTCATTTTTACGTTTACGATGCTTTATGGAAAATAATAAGAAGTGTACATAAAATACTATAATTTTATGTACATTTATTACATTTTACTGTGTTATTTGTATTTCCATTCATTTTATTATTAATTTTGATATTTCGTTTATGGAAAAATGTCATAACTGAGATTAATATAAAAATAAGATCATATAAATTAAAGTTTAGCAGTAGTTAAATTTCATAAGATGATACTGTTACTTGTAGGTACCCTTCTCAGTTGAAATTGAAAACTCAAATTAACTTCTCCATACGTGTTTCGCAAAAAAGTAAAGGGCTTAACAGCAGAGAACAATGCTGAACTCAAATAATGCAACTAAATTGTATTCTGGTTGGTCTTCCGTACTTGATAATTACTGTCCGACTATAAACACAAAAATTACATTTCTTAATTACCATGGCTAATCTGATTGGTCCAAATTATACAATTTTCAAAAGCGCTAGACAATGACAATCTCACACGGACATTTTGAAAGGTTGATGTTGCTTTTTTAACTAATGTTAAAATATTTTTAAAATTCAATTTAAACATTTTTTAAAAATCTTTTTAAAATTAAAGAAATAAGAAATAATTGTATTAAAAATTCAATTTTCATTGAATAAAATTTTTGCTTTCAGAAAATATTGTCCATATTCATAAAAACAAATTAAAACAAATAAAAGCATTTGAAACTAAATAATATATTTGTTTTATTGAGTTTTGTATGTTACAATTCACAGCTGATTTTCAGGTACGTTGGCCAAAAACAAAAAAAAACATGATTTGCATTCTTCAAAGCCTTGTGCTTTTAACTATTGTAATCACTAAAACCGATGGTCTCGAATTTCTAGTTTTTCATAAAATTAGTTATTGGGGTGTTAATAAATATAAAAAAAAATATTTCTGCCATGACTTTAATAAAAAAAAATATTTATAATAATTTCGATCATCTGTGAATAGTTTCTGAAAGTTTCATTAACATCTGACAATTATTTTTATTTTAGCAAGATTTTCCAAATTAATGTGTGTAAATACAAAAAAAATGCGCTAAAAATTATCTATGTTATTTACTACCCCTTGTTGCGACAAAGAGAAACAAGGTTTTTTAAATCAAAATTTAGAATATTCTAAAAAGATTAAAAAAAATTTTTAAAATAATTAAAAAAAAATTAGTCTATCCTCTTCATAAAAAAATAAGCATTTTGACGATAAAATTTTGTTTTCATAAACTTTGGCGTCTTTTTCATCAGA